AATCGGGAATAAAACTGTTGCCACGACTTCACCAAAACTATTGCATATTGAAAGTACTCTTCTCCCGTTTCTTTTACCTCCTATTTATATCCCCGACTCAATGTTGTTTATTGTTAGGTGCGATCCTATATAGGATATACTCCATCTTTAACCCAAGCGACAACACATGTTCCTCATTGTACATATACAATAAACGAAGAACGTTCATTGTGATGTTTTAGGGAACGATTCACATCAACGCCTCATATAATCTATATGTCAAAAGTCGCTTGCGAAAAAAAGAGTTAGTTTACATTTACAAGTCAATACTAGACAACGCTTTCGCATCAAGTTTCTAGTAAACTCTCCTCTGAATTTCATTTTCCTCGCTGGAAAACGAACTTTTTTCAATGAATTTTCTCTGTATACGATGAAAATCTAAAACAMTTGATCCACGACGTCTAGCTGCTTAGAGGAAATGGCGTTTGACAATACGGAAACTAGATGACCTCTTCACTCTAGTTTGTTGTGGAGTATTAACACGCTTATCCAGTGRATGGACTTCCGATTACAGCTTACACTGCACTTTGCCGTTCACTTAGAGATTGTGGATTGTTAATCTAGCTATCTAAAGGCACTTATCGCACACTCAAATGACGGCGAATTGTAAATTACTGAGACGTAAATGATCATCGTCTTTGCGTTTTTTTTTTCTTTTGATTATTTGGTATACCACCTGTTAGTGTTATATCATATACTTTTTAATCTTCTTTCACCCTCTTTATATTTCTTTACCAATCTTTCTATGTTTTTAAGTTCTTTTCGTACTTTTCTATTCCATCTTTTTTTCTGTCTTTCATTTCCATTTTCCATCCTTCTGTTATTCTTTTTTTTATCTGTTCATTGTTCATCATTTAACATCACGTGACTGGATCCAATTCTTCCTCATCTTGCAGGACCGAGTCAAAACTTGAGGCATAGAGGGAGCTKGGCGCAGTTTTCAAAATACGCCAMAGAAAATTTTCATTGTTGTCTTGAGTAAAATGAAGGGTTTTAAGGTCGAAATGAAACAAATTGTAATAATAGTGAGTTGAATGATCGATCCTACTTTATTTAATTAATTAGTCTTATCCCCCTAGGGTGGTGGTTCTAATTGAGGGCGGTCCCGCTCAAACCTTTTAACCCTGACGCTATTCAATACACTCAAACTATCGCAGGAAACCGACACCCTGTCGGAAATGTTATGGTGCAATAAGGTACAAGAAATAAATCATTGTACACTTTACCTAACTCGATACTGTGCCTCTTATCCAATTTCCCCGTGAACCTTACCGTTTGGAAGAGAAGGCAATGTATACTGAATGAATTTTAAAAGTTCGCAGAAAGAGAAATGACTTCCGAAGTAGATACAGCACGATGCAGTAATGTATTAACCTATTAAAAGTCGAATCTATCCTTCTATCCTCTCCCTCCCCTCCCTAGAAATTTCCCAATTGAACTAATAAAAGCCAATGGTATCAATGCGATTATGCATCAATGCGTTTGTGTTTGTGACGATGATTGGGTGACCATATCATTCCCCATTGCATTGTGGTCAAGATTCGGTACACGCATCACGTGTTCACATGCCCATATATGGTGTTGTTTGAACTAAAGTTAGTCCACAATGCACCGGTAATTGGATTTMAGAAATGTTGAAGACGACTACCTTTCATGACTTTTTCTCTTCGTGGATAAACCGATTTTCCAATTATCCTTCTCTATTAATGCAAAGCTGTATTTAGTGAACGTGAAAATACGCTTATATTTTCCATTATCCCAAAAAGCTATTTAAAATTGTTTATCAATGAAAATATAATCATAAAGTGTTCTTAGTTTCATGTTACCACGAGTTTATTGGGAAAACCCCTTTCTAAACCTTTTAATCCAAAATGGGATATTTTTCGTCTTCTTTTTCTTCCTTTCTCACTGTCTCTCTCTCTTTTTTCTAGCTTTATATTTTTCATTGCTCTTCCGAAACCAACTGATTTGCTTAACATACGTTTCTGTTTCATCACTATCATTGAACGAATTAAACTTTACTCCTCATTAGGTTCCAGTTTTGAGTTTCTATCATTGTTCTTTTCTTGTCATTGCCAGACTGCGATTCTTAATAAAACACAAATATCAACACATACTCCTTTATTGTGCGAAGTTTTAAATCATTCTCGTGTTAAGTAGTCTAGTATTACGACCAAAATCTTGTAGACCTGATTTCTGCAAAACTTTTACTCGGTATGTTTTTAACCGATTCCACTTGGATTTTGTATATTTCCGAGTGCCCTTTTGTTTCCACAACCACCACACGTTTTGATACAATATAATATAGCTTTGAAAATGCTTTTGGCGCCTGCTTTATCAGCACTACGTAATACAATGATAATACATAAATTAATATGGCTTTCCGTAAATTAAAGCTTATATCTAGATATCCAGATCTTCGACTCAGACGTAAGTGAAGTATTAATTTCTTCTGTGCTGTAAGTTTTCAATAGTAGAAGGATACTTTGTCACGTAGTACAAGCCTAAAAATAAACCAGACCAGTATCTTTTGCGGGAAATTGAAGTTATCACTCTCTATCCAGACATCCTTTTCCCTTTTCATCCCTAACCCCCAAAAATAAATAAAATTGAATTAAAAGCAATAAAGGTTTTAAGATAAGCCACGAGGGCTCTTTCCTTGTCGGTTTCARCCCCGTGTTTAAAAGTAAACATTATTCGGAGATTAATTATCAAAAAACGGAAATTTAAACTACCTGTGTACGATCAACAATTAGGAGGATTTTCTATTTCCGGTCTTTGTGTTACTTATCTTTTTCCTACTCTTTTATTGACAGATTTTTTTCATTCCTCTTTCGATTCAGCGCGTGTTTAAGGAAATAGAAGGCAACAAGATTACGATGAATTAAATGAACACGGTGAAAGCGTGAAAACATCATTATGAGATTGGTGTAATCATCGTAGGAGTCTTTAGAAATGTCTAGATTAAGGAAGGATATATACAACCCACTCTACAACAAGATTTTGAAGGAATTTGTCAAAAGTGCAAGTCTCTAAATTCTTCTCAAAATTCTGATTATAAAAACGTACAGGTACTGAAAAATATCAAACACGGAAAGAACAAGACAATAGCAATTCGAAGTAAAAGAAATAAAAGGAAGAAAGAAAGAAAGAAAAAAGAATACGAAATAGAGTTCGTCTTAAGATTCTAATTAAGAATATAAGAATTGATTCTTATATTCTGGAAAAAATGGACTTTTCTTTCTTTCCACACTCTTTTGCCGAGAAGAATGGTAGTTCAGTCAAAGCTAAAAAACATAATAAACTTCTTTAAAAAAACATTAGTTATTGAAATACACAATACATTTTAGGGTTAACGGAATCMCAAATAAAATTCACGGACTGAAAGCATCTTTWCCAGTTTTTTTCATCACGACTGTGTCAAGCACCAACTTTACAAGTTAATAGCTTATTTTTTTCATCTAACTTTAACATTACATGCTATTTCATTGATTAAAATCGTCCTCGCAAAAAATTACTCCTAAAAGTAAATGTATATAACTCATTTATCGTTCTTACATTAAGGCTATTTGGTTGCTTAGCTTTTCCTACACTAATGGCATGGAAATTATTATTGATAACAAAATACAATTGTTGATAAATTCAATTATTAAACGATCCCATTGAATGGTCATGTTTTGACTGTATATAATCAAGGGTTTTCATTGAGGAAAATTGWTTATAAATTGCTAAAGATACAAAGGAATGGGTATCGTAAACATCTTTTGCAYGCCATCGCGTGTTTTCGAATGTATTTGATACGTTACTAACACAGCATGGCGCAATAATTAACGCGCGCTTTCTTTGCAAATGGGCTCCTCCTTTTTACCGAGTAGCGGAGTTGCCTTAAACAAGAGGAAATTGTCGTTAATCAAGCAGTAAGAATGTTTTAAGTGAGTTTATACTGTAATGTTATAGTGGACATATAGTTAGATATGTGATATAACCTCTAAATATTTCATCATCGATTCAAAAATTATCAGTTATATGTGAAATGAAAGCAGTAAAATGGAAAAATAAAAAAAATGGGAATTAATAATGGGATATCTTTTTATTTCAACTCGTAGATTATATTTCCATTATTGTAAAAAAAAATCATATTTGAACTCGAATGCATGTAACTTAGCAAAGCTCTGATTTGAAAGTCTAACCAACAATTTATGAAATCAAGAATATTAAAAATATTCCAATGATATATTGCCAATAATCTTTCAATTTCTAAGCTACAATCTAAATACGTTGGTATGGTAAAAGCTACAGATTTTTTATCCTAGTATAATTGCAGTTGTTGAGATTAAACTTTTATCATATCGATTGCAACTGATTGCCCTAAGTGTGTCTGATGAAAATCTCTAAATGCAAGAACATGTTTTTCGTTCTGTATACCAAACTCCCAAAGTATTTTWKCTATATAGACTTCATTTTTGAGCGTATTGGTATTTTCTTCTCCCGCAAAAGTATTAAGTTAATGTTGATATGAATTTGCGCGGAGAAGATCTCTAAATCTGTTTTTTTTTTGACAGCATTTTTAGTGCTGCAAAACGTGAAAATATTTCTACAATAAAACAGGCAATAACAGACATTGCTTTCAATGACAGACGCCGTCAAAAATATCTAATAACTAGATTACAAAGCGTTTTATTTAGTAAATGTTTTGGAAAATGCCTTCCAGTTTGGGAACACATGACACTCATTTAGCTGAAGTGTAAGGAACTTTTGTTCATGATCAAACTACAACATCAAATACAGMTTCGCACGTGACTTCTCGATATCTAAACACTTCCTAAATTCGGCGGGTKTTTGTGTAAACAAAGAAAAAAAAGAGCCAACTTCGACTCAAGTACGAATAGTTTGCCAATCTCAAGGCGAGTGACGTCATGAAGCGCGCGCTTAAAAAGGCTGCGGCTACCTACAGAGCTCCACAGATCACTTAGTTCTACTGCTCACTTAGCATTGTCCCACTAGCACGTTTTGGAAATGAAGAATGGAACGCTRGTTTTACTTGTATTRAGTTTCTGCATTGCATTTTCCCATGCATTTATGTGTACCAATATGCAACATTGTTCGAAGCTGAACACAAAGAAAGTMGTCGATCAGGTAGGAGCAACAGATAGTGAAATTCTTCATCTAAACATGTGACTTTGTAGAAAATTT